TATATAATAATAATATATATATATATATATATATATATATATATATATATATATATATATATATATATATATATATATATATTTTTTTTTTATTTATATCCATTTTAGCTTTTGCTTTTATTTTATTTTTTTATTCTTTTTTATATTTTTAATTGCTATATTAATTTTTAAAATGTTTATAAAATATTTTTAATTATAAAATTATTTTGATATTTGTTATTAAAATACATTTATAAATATCTATTAAAAAATTAATATATTTTTTAATAATTAGAGCGTAATAAAATATTTTTTAAAAGTTTATTTTTAATTATATTAATAATAATTTTTCTGCAATTATTTATTAAAAATAATTTATAAATAATATTATACAGTTTTTAAATTATTAACATAACATTAATTTATTTATTTACTTATATTTTTATATTATATTTGAAAATTATAATAATTATCTCTTTTTTTTTATTATAAATGTTTTTTTATAATTTATTGTTTTTTATATAAAATTAATATTTAAAATTTTTATATTTTGACTTTTAAAAAGTTTTTATAGGTTAAATTTTGTTGAATTATTATATTTTATTTCTTTTTTTCAAGCACTTATGTTTTACTAGTTATTAGGATAGTATTTAAATGATTTATTGGTTTAATTTATATTTTTTTTGCGGCATATATTTGTAAGATTAAGCTTATATATATATATATATTTATTTATTTTTTTAATTAAAAGAAATAATTAAAAAATAATATTAATTCTATATATTTTTTTATTAATGACATTTTTTATAAATTATATATCATATATATGTTAAAAAAATAATTCACCTTTTTTTCTTTATTAATATATAAATATGCCGTAAAAAAAATAAACTAATATAATTAATTCATATATGAATAATTAATAGTAAACATTTTAAATATGAATAATGAAAAATAAAAATACAATATATATAAAAATTCTGAATTAAAAAATTAAATACCAGAACCGATAAAGGAAAATAGTAACCAACAAATTTTAAGGCATAAAAAAATCGAAAAAATACTAAAATGAAGATGAAATAATTATCATTAAATAAACAAATGAAAATACAATTTTATTAACATAAAATATTTGTAAATTGATTAAAAAGAAACTCTTAAAATTAATAATTTTATCAAAATTGTTTTTAAGAAAAATACATTTCTTATAAAAAATTATAAACTATATTTAAATTCGCAATATAAAAAATAAATGCCTGAAAATAATAAATATGAACTTATAAAAATAAATCAATTATAAAAGAAAATGAAATAAATAAAAAAAAGAGATAAGAATTAAATATAAATTATATTCATATCGCTTGAGATAAAAAAATGTATCTAAATATAATAAAAGTTTTAGAAGACATAAAACTATATTTAAAAAAAGAAATGGTAATAAATATAGATGATAGTATTTTTAATATAAAAATAATGTCAAAAATTTAAGATAATGTTTTTAAAAAAAGATAAACAAAAAAATAAATGTTTTTTTATATATAATAGAATAAATTATATATTTAATAAATTATTTTTTATTTTTTCTTATATATAAAATTTTAATTTTATATATAAAAAATTAATTTGTTTAATATATGTAATATTTTAATTTATATATATCTATAGAAAAATATTTTTTTTTATATCGATTTATTAATTTAATTATTTTAATGTATTATATATAAAATTAAATATAAATTAATATATATTATATATATTTTATATATTATATATAAAAATTATATTATATATATATATTACTTTTTTATATTTATTTATATATTTTTAAAATAAAAAATCAATAAAAAAAGCAGTTATCAAATTTTTTTTTTTTTTAATAGAGTAAAAAATATAAATAAGCAGTTATTCAAATAATAATATATAATAGAAAATACTAATATTTATTTAATTTTTAGTTATTATTAATTGATAATATATATAATATAAAAAATTATTATAAATTAATTAATATATATTATATTATTAATATAATAAGATATATTTTATATTAATATTATATTATATTTTATTTTAATAAAAAAAATACAAAGTTAAAAAATATTAATAATATGTAAATAAAATGAAAAATAAAAAAAATATCAAATAAATACCTATGAATTAATAAATGAATAAGTATTTAAAATATTCAAATATATTTTAAATATAAATATAACTTTAGATTAAATACGAATCAAATAATTATATATATATTTAATAGTTTTTTTTTTTTTTTTTCTAAATAAAAAAATTTCTTCCTTTTTCACAATTTTTTTTTTTTTTTTTTTGTAAAAAGAAAAAAGAAAATAACAAAAATAAATAATTTTCTTCTTTCAAAAATCATGTAATGTATTTGCTCTTACTCTTGAATAAAATACAACCTAATTATTCATATAATCTGGTTTAGCACAATAAGTAGTTCTCTAAGGATAATATTAATAGGGTAAGAAAATACGTGGTTATTAATATAAAAAATAAGCAACTGGAACAAAAATACCGAGTATCCAATAATTTCTAAACCATGTTCTAGTAACGTATAATTTAGGATTTAATTATATATTAAGATTTTTGGGGAAATCCTAAGCTAATTTGAAAAACTTTGAATCGTCTAGCATTTTTTATTTTTAATTTTATTCTTAAATAAAATATTTATATAAAGTATTATATATGAAAATAAATATTTTTATATTATATAATAATTAATTTCTTTATTAAAAAAAGATAATTATAAAAAAGATTATTTTAATAATAATTTTTTTTAAAAAAAATAAATAAATAAATATAATATATATAATTTTTTTTTTTTTTTTTGACTTAATAGTTAAATTAATATATTAGATATATAAACGTAAAAGTATCAATTATATATTATATACAAACTTAATAAAAACTATTTATATAAATATTTAATTAAAAAATAAAAATTAGAAAGAAATCAATATAAATATATAAATGATATAATGTTTGAATAATTAAATATGTATAATTAATGATTAAATAATAGGAAAAGGAAGTTTTGGATCTGTATATAAAGGTTATATTTAATTAGGCTAAGATTAAAAAGAAGTAGCAATAAAAAAGATAAATAATATGGTTAACAATCAAAATTAAATAAACAATTATTCATAAAACGAGAAAGAAATATGTACAAAAATAAAAAATGAAATTAGACATAAAAACATAATAGACATAATAGAAATAATCTAAGATTCTTAAAATATATACATAGTAATGGATTATTGTAATTTTGGCTTTTAAAAATTTCTCAGAAACTATTTAAACTAAATAACCCCAATATAAATGCTTGAATATATGCTCTAGATATCAAAAGGTTTAAAAGCCTTACATAAAAAATAAATCTTACATCGAGATATAAAACCAGAAAATATATTTGTTAAATAAAATGGAAATAAATTTACAATGAAATTAGGTGATTTTGGAATTACAAAAACTGGAGATTATTTATAAGTAATTTACCTATATATATATATAAATCAAAATAATTATATATATATATTTATATATTAACATATATTAATATATATAGTTTCATTATAAAAGTCTAATGTTAGTACCTATTCTTATATGGCTCCTGATATGATTGATTTAAATAATTTAAATTACAATTAAAAAGTGGATATATGGGCTCTTGGGTGTTTATTTCATTATATTTATTTTTAATAAAAATTTTTTAATGATCAAAATTAAAATTAGATATATTTATAAATAAAATAATTTACCAGTTATGAAAAATATTTAAATCAATATTTTTTTGAAAATGGAAAAAATATTAATAATATGAATTTTAATTATATTTTTTTCTAGAAAACAAGCCATAAATAAACTTGTTATAATAAATGCTTTAAGTCATCCCAGAAAATAGGATTAATATAAATGAAGTTTGTAAATAATTAAAAAATATAATTAATGAATACTATAATAATTTAATAATAACTAGTAAAATAAGTAAATCTTAGATATAAAATTTAAGCTTAGAAAATAAAAAACTTTAATAACAATTATAATAATATCGTATGAACTTAAATTAAGAATTGGGTAAAAGTTAATAAAAACAAAACTTAGAAATAAAAAAAGTAAATAATTAATTAGAATAGGAATATTAGATTTAAATATAGGAGAAAGATTAAATAATTTATGGTTTAAAAATTTAAACTAAAATTTTATAAATTCAAATTTAAAATTAAAATAAAATTTAAATTGAAAATTAATAAAAAGAAAAATACCAATAAGATTTAGAAATAAAAGAAGAATAAATAAATAAAGAAATAAAAGAATAAAAATATATATACGAAAAAAGTTTATAAGAATAATAATAAAATATTTAATAATAATATAATTAAGTTAATCTATAATAATAAAATAATTAAATTAAACTTTAATTATAAAAATTTTTAAATATAGCTATTATTTAATAAAATATATTTTATATGATAATAATTCAATAAAAAACGATAAAAAACGATGAATTATTAAATAATGATGATTTCGATAAAAATTTATTATAAATTAAATACCACATAAAAAAAATTAAAAAATACCAATAGATAACTAATAATTAGTTTAAGATATAATAGAAAATAATAACAAATTTTGCAAATATTATTATTTTAATTTAATTAATAATTTGGAAGCTTTTAAAAAAAATTAATAATAAATACATTATTAAATTTAATTTTATAGTTATTTATTAAAAAAAAAATATATATTTAAAAAAAATAAAAAATAAAAAATAAAAAATAAAAAAAATAGAAATTAGAAATTATAAAAAATATAATATATTTATAAATATATATAAATATATATATATATATGTATATATATATATATATAATTTTTTTTATTTTATTTTTTATTCATAAATTCTTTTATTTCTTATTAATATTAATTTATTTTTTTATTTAGAAGATATTTATATATATTATATTAATATTCTTTTATAAACTTTTTAAATATAATTTTTTTTTGATTATTATATATAAATTTGAATATAATTTTTTTTTTTTTTTAATAATTTATTATATTTAATATTATAAAAATAAATATTAAAAAAATTATTATTTTTTTTTTTATGAATTTTTACCTTTTTTTATTAATTATTTTTGGAATTATGATACTTTTTAAATATTATAAACTTTTAATCAAGATCTTTTAATGGATATAATTTAAAAATAATTTTTTAAATAAATAAATTCTTTACATCTTTACATAATAAAATTAATTTATTATTTATTTTTAATTTATTTAAAAAATGTTTTAATTTATTTCTTTTTAATTTAATTTGATAAGACTAGAAGATTTATAAAAGATTTAAACTAAAAAATACATATTATGTTTAAAAGGATAATCCTAATTTAATAAATTTTAAAATTATTGTTTTACTTAATATTATTATATAATAAATTTTAAAATTAATCATATATTTAAATAATTATTACAAAAATTATTATAAAATACTATAAAATTGTATAAATTATAATTAACTTAAAATAAATTAAATGTAATATAAGGAAAGTTATAAAAAACTATAAATTATATTATTTATTTAAGAAAAAACTCAAAATTAGTAAACTAAAAATTAAATAATGATTTAAATTGTAAATGAAAATTTATTTTTATTTAAACTTTATTTACTTTTATTTATAATGTTTTTTAAATAATACTTAATTTATTATGCTATAATAGTTTTAATAACTTATTTTTTAAAAAGAGTATTTTTAAAAAAAAAAAAAATAATGGGAGATATAATTCATTTTTAAAATAAAATATTTTATTTTAATACTATCAAAATAATTAAGTTATATTTTGATGTTTTTTTAAAATATAAATATTATATTTTCTAAAATATAATTATATTTATAAATATAATTATAAAAAACATTCAAAGTCCTGCTTCATTCATTAATCTGTAAAAAATATAAATAAATTTAAATAATAATAAACATATTTATTATACTTTGTATTATACGCAGACCTCTCTTAATTAACAGTTTCTCTTAATTCTTTCAGTTTACTAACATTAAATTATCTTAATTATTCATCAAATGTATGAGGATGCACTTCACCATAATCATTCTATCAATCAAAAAATAATATTAAAGAATTTGAAAAAACAAATAAATAACATACCCAATTCTAAGAATAAGCTTATTTAAGATTACAATTATATATAGAATAAGTAAAATAAGATAATGATAAAACACCAAACATACGTGGGTTAGTTAATATAGGGTTTCTTCTTAAAACTTTCCAGCCTTGATATACCATTTATTTATTATTTTTCCAATATTAAAAATATTAAATAAATTATTAATAATGATATATAAATATATATATATAAATATATATAAAAATATTTTATTTATATTTTTTTATTTATATAATTTCAAAGTCTTTATTAATAAATATAATATTATTTAATTATATGTATTTTTATATTAATATAAATATTATTTTTCTTTTATTTTATTTCTATAACTCTTTTCTTTCAATACTTATAATACCTTTATTCGTTAAAATTATTCGTTTCATCTTAGTTTATACTTTTTCTTATTTATTAATTTTTTTAAATTTTGTATTAATTTTTTTATGCCTGATTCTTATAATAAAAATAATTTTTTTATTGAGATTTTTTATTACATATATTATCTTAATTTTGATGTTTTAATTTACTTTCTTGAATTTTTATAAAGCTTGTAAAAAATCTATTAGGATTAAAAAAAGAGCAATTTTAATGATTTTAATTATAATTTAAAGGGTTATTATTTTATTTAACAATATAATTATATGCATTTTAATTGTTATTATTATTATGATTAACATTATTAACAAAAATTTAAGAAAACTTATTTTTATTTTAATAATAAAACGATATCTAATCTTCTTTTTCTATCCATTCGAATTTATTATTTATAGATTTAACTAAATGTAGTATTTAGTTTTTATTTTATAATAATAAATATTTATCCTAACATTTTTTTATTAAAGACCGTGTAATTTTAAATTTCATCATTTAATTGATAAAATCATCCTTTATATTTTATAAAAAATATTAAAAAAAAAAAAATTACATGCAAATAATGTTGATTGTTTTATTAAATTTTTTCTTGTAAAAATTCATAAATATCATCCTAATTTTAAAGATTTTAAATAGAATTTTTATACATTTAAAATAAAGCCAAAGTAGCTCTATATATAGATTTAAATCCTTTCAAAATAAATAAATTCAAAATTTTTAACATTAAATAAATATCAATATCATTAGCAAAAAAACTAAGTAGCCATTTTTAAATAATTATCTTATATTAAACATTATATTAATTCTAAATTTATTTATTTTTTTTTAAAAAAATTAAATATATTTGTATTTACAATTATAAAAATTTAACGAAATGCGAATAAAGATCTGGTATATAATTTTTTAAAAAGCAAGAAATCTAAAATACATATATTTATATATCTTTAAAAGAATTAGAGAAAAAATTGCTTAATTAGTAATTAAACAAAAGTTATTAAAGAGTAAAATAAGCTTCTTAAGGTTTTAAAACTAATAATAAAACAGCTCCGAAATAATTCATTCCTTAATAATATCCGAAAAAAGGATATTTATGATAAATAGTATTAAGAATAATGCATAAATTTTATTTACTTATTTAAAGATAAAGATATAAAATTAAATATTGTATAAATAAAAAATAAAAAAAAAGAAATAAATATATATTTATATATAAAATTATAAAAAATATATATAAATATATAATAATATATATAATATATATATTTATATATATATATATATTTATATAAATATATTAAAAATTATTAATATTTTTTATATTATATTACTTTTCTTCATATCTAAAATATGAATATTATTGTAAAGTTCTTTATACATCTATATATATATCATTATGTATTTAATTCTAATATATTGAATAAAACTATATATATATTAATAATTATATCATTAAAATATATAAAATAAAAATATTTTTTTAATAAATTTAAATTATACATTATATTCGTACTAAATTTTATTTAAATTTTATTTTAATTTCATCGAATATTATAAAAAGTTTTAATAATTCTATTTATTTCCCTATATTTTTTATTTATAAAATTATAAAAATATTTGATTATTGATATATTATATTACATAAATAAAATTTTATATTTTTTTATAATTATTTACATTTGTAATTAGATATTATAGCCTTTCATTTATAATATCTTTTATTTTTTTTATAGAAAATATTTAGAAGTTTAAAGTAAAATTAATAATTCATCAGGATTCAAAAATCTAAATATTTTATTTAATATTATAAATTAAGCCTATGACTAAATTTTATTAAATAAATATAGTAAATTTTAAGTTTGATTCATTTCATTTATTTTAAATAATATGGTCTTTTCTTCTAATAAAATTAAATTATTTTATTAATTTAAATTAAAAAAAATTAAATTATTATTTAATAATTACTTTAATTAAAATAATGAAAATGCTATTAATGTTTAAGAGTATTTAATTGAAATAAATACATTTTTATATAAAGAAATTTTATTTAATATTAAAAATATTTATATATATAAAAAATCTAGAAATATTTAACTCTATTATAAAAATTATAAATATAAAATACAAATATATATAAATATATATAAAA